CTAATGCGTCTCTCTCTCTCTCGCTCTCTCTCTCTCTCTCTCTCTTTCTTTCCCTCTCTCGCACTCTCTGTGTTTGTATCTCTACCGCTCTCTCTCTCCACGGCTGCCGTTCACTGCAGCAAAAACAGTCTGTCTGAAAGACGAGAGGGAGGGGAGGGGACAAGGGAGGGAGGGTTGGAGGGAAAGAGGGAGGGAGGGGATTTTAATACGATTTGGCCCGTACCATCGGGATAACAGGGCCAGAGCAGGGGCCTACTGGCTGAGAGCAACATGAAGGAGATGGAGCAGATAGAGAAGTGTGATCGCATCATACCGAAAAATCGCCATAATGTTCCTATAATGCTCCACAGTGAGTCCACGCTGACCTTATCGGGCTTTGTGCTATTTCATTATCTCCTGTGGACGCACAGTGCTGTAGGATTCCCCGTGATATCTCCGCTCCCTTTATCTGAAGGTTTGATATTGAGTGGGTCTAGTATTCCTCTTCAATTCTCTCAAAGTTTCAGGCCTACACATCTCCTGAGCTGAAGCAGCAGAGGTCATCTGAACTTGATAGTCGCGCTTCTCAGTGGCCTATGATGTCTCTTATCGTTGATATTATGGAGCCATTACCCCTATCTCGTAGATAGGCCCACTGCTATTTCCCGTAGGCCTGATCATTTGCACTATGGTAATGATGTACCGAGTTTTTTTGGTGCCATTATCTGTCACATGCCTACAGTACAGCAGCCACCCTGTGCCTTTAACACTGACTTTGTTTCTTATCACCTCAACATTTGGATAGGCTACTGCTCCTATAACGTTTAAGCATCATAATGTTTATTACCCCGGGAATGGGCAGTTTTGCATAAGCTTGTAAACTTTAGGGTAGTGTATGTAGTTAGGACGTTATAGCGTCAGGCGCGTTTTGGGAACGCAGGAGGGGAGAGAGAGGGAGGCAGGGAGGGTGTGCGTGTGTGTGTGGGGGGGGCTTGTTCAACTTGCCAGAGAGGATTAAGGATTAGTTTTACTGGCGGATTAGGTCTGTGTGTGGGGAGGCATGATGGGGTTAAACATGGATGGCGGCAGCCGCACGACAGCCCAATCAGTGGTGGTGGCGACACACTGACACCGGGGAGGTGGGTTTGAAGGAAATACAAAATAATAAAAGCCATGGGGAGCCGGGGAGGGGTTTGAGAGTCTGGGAGTTTGGGAGATCTTCAAGCAGGCAGCTGCTTTCCACACTGAAAACATAAATAGGGCTTCTATGATTGGGGTACAGGTTTTTCAAAAAGCAGAAGAAGTCCACCTTCAGGGGTCCTTGAAAGGATTCCAGCAAGGGCCCCACTCAGATTTCACTAAACGAAAAATACATAATGCCTACTACAATCCCTACTCAACACAGGTTGTAGTTTAATTCAATACAAAAGCTGCATACAAAAATCTTGAAACGACACCATTTCCTGGCTCCATGAGTCATTTACATCCAAAGTAAAGAGTCTTTATCTCTCCCTGTCTCTAAAGCAAACGGGGGGCTGAAACGCAGCATCTGGCATCATTAAACACTTGTTATGAGGACGGAAAAGGCTTTAAATGTTTTGTTGTTGGCGATGCATTAGGAAAGCTTGTGCTCTGGCTCAAGTGAGTGGACAGCCCCGGGTGCTGAGACCGTGCGCGACAGGCGTGCGCGCGTGTCCACTGACTTTCACACGACGGGGCTGCACGGGTTGCTGGGTCCTCCTGCGGTGCCTGCGTGGGGCCGTATACGAGATCGGAGCCCGAGCATGAAGCCTGGACAGTAATAGGCTGGTAACGGAGCCCGTGCTGTGCGGCTGCAGCGGAGCTGTGGTTTCAGGCTTTATGCAGTCTCAGATCTGCATATTAAAGCGATGACCTTTGCGTGCTGAAAAGGCTCCATGTGAAATGTCTATGACAATTCAGACCTGATGCACTTTGTATTGGGCCTCTGCATTGCAAACACACATCCATCCATCATCTATCCATCCATCCATCCATCCATCTCTGTAGACAAAGCAGCCTTGTCAGATGCATCCCAGCTGCAAAAGCAATAAGACCTCTCTGCTTTTGTTCCCCTATCATTCTATCTCCTCTCATTCAAAAAGCCACAACCCTTTATACACATCTCTGCCGGGACTCGAACCCGGAGCCTCTGGATTAGAAGTCCAGCGCGCTATTCCATTGCGCCACAGAGACTG